CCCCCAGCCTAAGGCTCCCCACCTTCCCCTCCTAAGCTCCTGTGCCACTTTGGACTCCTGTGCCCCTACACCACCCCCCATTATCCTTGCTTTGGTGTCAGCAGGCTCTGTCCCTATACCAGCCTGGGACACAGATTACAGCCCCAGCCCAGCCCCATAGCACCTTGTGCTATTAGTGAGGCATACTTTGGTTCATGCTGCTAACCAGCCTCCATGTAATTTCTTTGTGCACTTGTCAATGGCTGCCCTAACCCATGCTCCAGCAAGGCCTACAGGCTTGTGCATGTTCATGTAAGAGAAAAATCAAGATGGAAACAGTAACAAGGAAGCTCTAGTACAGAGTACAGCTGGTAGAAACCTGGTAACAAGACCCAAAGCAAAAGCTTTGAGAGAATTCACAGCTGGCACTGGTGCTGCAAATAAAGAAACACTCAGGTTTGATTTCTCCTGTATTCAGGTAAATGGACATTCATTCACTGTAAATAAACAGATCGGCATCTGACTCCATTCCTAATTCCTCTTCTTGGCTGAAACAACCTACAAGATTCCAAATTTTGGTTGCTTGCATCGAAGGAGCTAACAATATCTTGAGCCATCCAATACTAACAGGAAATTTTTTCATTTAGGTTACTTCTTCCTGATACACATAGCTATACTGAATGAGCTATAACTATTTTTCAGAAAGACTTTATAGTCACCTTTGTAAGCACAGTGCGATTATATAAAAAGTTTAATGTCTTCTCAGAAAAAAAAATAGGAAAGAAAAAAGTGGAATTTTGAGTAAACAAGGCTTACAGAAATAGTCATAAATAGAAACAGAAAGCCACGTTCATTCACTTTTTCTAGACCACCTGAACATAGTGTACTGGGATTATTTTTTTTGGAGGACTCACAAATAAGAGTTTATTGTTGAATCCTGTTTCCATGACTGCAAGCAGTTGCTTATATTTGGAGTGGTCATACATGTTTCTAACTTTATAACTCTCCTATTAAAATATAGAACAGCTGCTGCTCTGGTCAGATGCTAGGCATATGGAGCCCACCAGGGACAAAAGCCACTGTTAACATGTAGAATTATTTTTAACGCCCTCACATTTCTAAACCAAGCCATCATCTCAGCAAGATGGCAAGTTTCCATACTTCCCCAGCTGGGGGAACACCTGCATAATACAAACCTAAACTGTGCTACATCTGGTATAAAAACCAATTTTATTTCATCTGGCCAACAGAATAAGTTATCAGCATGGGTGAACAGAAACAGGCCAAAAAGTTAACTGCATTTTATATTTAGATAAAGACAGATGTTCAGCTAAGTTGTTTATACTGCATAGGTTTGTGTATGTGTTAGAAAAGACAGACCCATTCCATAAAATGGAATTAAAATTCCTTTTGTAATTTTTATCTAAGAGCAAAATTCAGCAGACCCATTGTTTCACCTTTACACAAGTGAAAAAGTAAAACCTGTTTTTTTACACTGAGGCAGTCACAGAGCATATGCAAGTTAAGTGGCTTTTCAAAGCAAGTTAGCCATCTCAAGCCTGGTTCTTTTCTTTAAGCTTCCCAGGAACGGTATGAAATTACATCTTATAGCATAGTATAAAAAGCATTTTCCCAGTGATATTAAATATACAATGGTCTCTAAATCATAGGTAGGGACCTACCCAACTTGAGGAAGCAGGCAGCTGAATTTGGAGGCAGATAGTGGGACCAGCCACCCATCACATGGCCCCACCCTCGCCACTAATTGGTTGAGGGCTATCTGCTATGCAGCCCTGCCCCTTGCTACTGATTGGTGGAGAGGGGCAAGGCCGCATGACAGGCAGCCCTCAGTCAATCAGCA